TTCTTCAGCCACTCAAGGGTAGTCTGGTCATTCGTCTAGCCATTATCTGATGCTGTAAAGTGCTAGCCAGCATATCTAGATAGGTTGGATGATGGGAACTACTGAGCCTGGACTGACTTGCCCTTATATATAACAAGGGGAAGTAAAGAGGTCCCAGCAGCAGACACACACTCAATTAGTGATATCTATGCCCTAGATCCAGGCTGTTTTTTCTGGATATATCGTAATGCCGTAGAGCCTAGCACCAGCCTATTGCTTCTTTTGCTTTCTATGATGCTAGTCTTATCTATATTCCATTGGTTAGATGGATAGATACCCTTGATTGCTGGCAGATCTAGATAACTGAACCATTCTTGGATAGCATCTGCAGTATGGGCTCTATATCGCCTAGAATCGATCGATCGGCATCTTTGGGTCCTGATTGATGGGTATCGCCGCAGGAATCGAGCTATCCATCTCTTCCCCAGAGGTCGCTGGGTATCGCCTGTCATACGCTCTGCCAGGCCCTTCACTTGCTGATAGGTAAGGGCACTGCCTAGGGCAGCTTGGGTAGATATATAAGTAGCCAGATTAGCCTCCTGTGACTGCGATAATCGCTGATAATCAACCCACGCAGTATTTCTGCTTTGCCTGCCGTGCAGCCGATGCTGAAGGGTCTGGTATGGTATACCCCAGTTACGAGCAGCCTGGCGGATAGGGCAGCCATCTGCTACGTCTGCAAGGGCTCGTTGGAGCTCAAACTTAGTGTATTGCTTCATGGTGTAATAGAGAAGGTATCCCAAAAAGATGGCGTTGTTTGGCGACAAATAGCAATTGTTGCGATAGTTTGAAAAAAGGGATGTTCTTGACGATGCAGCAATTTCGGATGGCTCGGATATGGGGGTGGCTCTCTTGTGGGGTGGGTGGGTTAAGATGCGCACAAGTGCTTGACTGTAATTCATAATTGGGACGATGTTTTACTGACTTTAATGATTTCAAAATAATACACTACTTTAACTTTCGTGTGCACTTGGTAATAGGCATTTCCATCCCGTTAAGCAACAGTAACTTTCTTCCTGTACACCATGAGAGCGGTGTAGACTTCGCCGTTGCCACCGTAGCTAGTGTCGTCTTGAAGAAACTCGTTTTCAATGTTAAACCCAAGCCGCCTATAGACTCCCACTCCAGCTTGCATGGCATGAACAAAGACATCTAAACCCATTTCTTCGGCTTGTCTTAGGCCGCTCTCTACTAAGAGAGTGCCGATTCCTTTGCCTTGATTGTCTGGATGGACAGCTAGATAGTCCAGGCCTGCCAGTAAAAAAACTATTAGATAGGCTTGGCTAGAGGAGGAATCTTAACGAACGCATATAAGACTGCATTTTCAGAATTTCATTTTTAGCTTTCCGGACAGGAATAAGTAGCTTATCTGCTTCCTCGTTTGGGTCCCAGTGAGCCGTTTTGGCTATACGCTGAATCTCGGCTTGTTTTTCTAGACTAACGGCTGGGACGATAGCTTCAGGCCACGCTGGTGTGCCGTCAGCCTTCTTTGTGTGAGATGCAGGGAGATACCAGCGGGCGAAGCCAACAATATTTCCAGTCGTAGGATCAATGGCCTTCTGTTGTCGCTTTATCTCTGGTTCGCTTAACATGTTCTTCGGTGTGCGCTTAGCCACCTGGGAAATGTGGTACTCGAGGGTTCGATGGCGCCAGGCCAATCTCCAGTGCGGATCTGCCCAGAAAGCGGGGATATTGTTGCGAGTAAGCTCATCGCTGTCAGCAACAGTACAGCCTGTAATAATATAGTTGGTTGCAGTAGTCATGACTTATAACAGTGAAAAGAGATAATCTTCTACTTTTTGTCTGTGTAAGACTGGAAATTAAAAATTGTGGAAAAGCACAAACTTTTGACGAGGGTGGATTTATATAATTGTGTGTTGAAGAGTATGACTACTTTCGACAGAAATCCACTTTCGGAATTCACTGTCAGCTGCGGCTAACGCCACCTTGTCTTACTTGTTGGCTGCTTATCTTCCCAACCTCTCCCTCTCACTTATCCGATTTTGGCTCGGCAAGCTCCATGCACCTACATGTTAGAGTTGTAACAGCCTACGATTTGATACCGGAGCAGCAGGCTATAGAAATTTGGACCCACAACCATTGGGACTCTTCTTACCAATACCACCACTCATCAGATACATTTTCGGCAATCTTCGGGCTTCCGAATGTTATGCTTGGATATGCTAGGTAACAAAAGTCTATGGATTTAGAATGAACAAATTGTAAGCCAGGTATGTGTTTGAGCAGCAAAATCGACTTGAAATATCATTGCGGTGAAATAAATATGCATCTTTCTGTAAATTGCTTGTTACCAATCATGCTTGAGATGCGCAACTTTACATGTGCTGACACCGCGTATTGAGGATCATTGAGTCGAGTTATGAATGAATATTAGCACGTCTCATCAACTGAAGCTCTCGTTGTGAAACCATGCATCCCTTCCCATTTCGACCCAATTTTTGACGGCTTTCCTCGAGTCTTGAGCCATATATACCCGGCCACAAACGACAACAACGATTTGATCATGGCCGCGCTGTTGGATTACCTCATCTAAGATACTCTGCAAATCTGATCGAATGCCATTCTATAACAGGCTATCGTCAGCGTATCTAGTTGCCCTCTAAGCCAACAAACAATTTACATGAGGAATCAATCGCGGTATTGGAAGATTCTCTCTTGCCACAAGCAATGAACAAGCGACATCCATCGTCGTTGCGGAATTTTCCCCGCTTCCCAGAACGCAGTCTCACTATCGTGCTCAACAGCCCAGACTATCCGCACTTGTACTGATGGATTGTTGGCAAGGATCTGCTTGTACAATGGCATTATGAATATTAGAGCAACGCCTTCCGCTACGAGAAGGATCTTATCAAATCGACCTTCGTCCAGATTGGAAAACATGCTGCAGCGCCGTAGGGCCCGTCGATGTTGAAAGCAACCGCGTGGCCGATCATTGTAGGCTGGCGAGTCTATTAGCTACGGTCCACCCATCCGACGTACGACAAGTGTTAATGTTCCCATCTCCTTATTTACCGAGACTACCCTGAAAGTGCTGGACACAAACGGGAAACGGGTGTAAGACCTTGAGAGGGGCTGTCGGCTTGGCCGTGACGCAGGTGGAATGCTCAGGTATAGGTGTGACGCGGGATAAGTCGTGAAGGGCGTTAAGATATTATCAGGAACCTCAAGTACCATATTGATGAGGTCCGTGTTAGGAATCATGTCGATATTTGCCAAAGCAGTGAAGCAGCTCAAACAGCGCACGACCAAGTTGGCAATGAAAACCCAGGAGGCCGGTATGATAAGGCCCGTGCCATGCGGCGTATGAACCACAATGATAAAGGTAAGATCGAGGAAAACATCAATTTTGAGTTTTCTGACTCTTGTAAAAAATGGACTGTGTATGTTTCCAGTGGTTTTCACACAACGGATCGCTTAATTGGACAACTGTGGCTTCAATCCATCAAGACCGTCACAAGAGGCCGCCAAGGTCAGCAGCACTAGGATGTAACGTTCCAAGAAATTATTTCCAAAATGAAGCTATATTCGAAATTACTAAGGGTTGACTTACGAAACATGAGGCGTAATACAATTTGTCTTTCAATGGCGATTGACCAGGGACAGAAACCTCTGGTGTGCGCTGCAGCTGCGCGTATGCAATCTCGGTTCGTTCTGCCAAAAACAATATTTTTAGGTGTTGAACTCTATCACCATTCCTACCTCGTGAACTCATTTCTATGATCAAGTTCAAGGTTCCAAAATGACATAGTGCGTTCCGAACAGGCCGCAATCACTCAGGACCTCAGACAAAAACTAGCAAAGAGGCTAGATCTTTGGTATATTCTGCCGCGATTTCAAGTCTTTGTCGAATGTATGCTCCTCGGTTTAGGTCGCCACAATGGGGCCAAGAAGAAGTTGATAAGCAGGTTACCGTTTGTCAAGCAGATTAGAAGACTCGCAAAAAGGAGCCCACCGCTTTGCATTCAGCAGTCTGGGTCGATCGTTGAATCAGTTTAGGCCGACAGACCCCACATTTAAAAGATTGTACAATACGATTGGCAGGACATGCTGCAAAAGTTCCGTGTTGTGGAACTGAAGCCTGCCGAGATAGCCGAGATAAGAACCGGCAAGCCCCCATAACCGGCACTCTCCGCGCGGCCTCACAAAGATAAGCGCATGTGTTTCCGTACGGGATTATAATCTTGAATGACCTTGCTCAAGGGCTAGCATGCCATTGGACTCTTGTCGGTCGTTGGCGGATGGAGACAGCAACGTCTGGGAATTACTCCCTTCTCCCCTGTGTCATTGAATGGTAAAATCTCCGATTTGCCTAGCTTGCTATGCATTTGACAGCGTATCTGTTATCTGCCTGTCAAGGATGTTTCAGGGATTCCCTCTTGATGGTTCTTGATGGTTCTCGTTCCATGTTTTTCGGATTACCCAAAGATCGTTAGTTGAAACTCGTACAACTCTTTGTGTTTCTGATAACATAGCCTACAATCAGAGCCCTGGAAAATCACACCTAATGATTCTCGAAGTTCAGATAAAGTCAGACAGACCGTGACAAATAAAATGAGGTAGAAAAAGGATAAAGAGCAAGCTCGGCATCTCCGCCGCATAACACCAACTCAAGCGAACGCTGCGCGCTATAAGAGGTGGTGTGGAGCGTCCACACGATAATCTAGAAGCTAGCAAATCACTTCTGCATTAGGGCCTCCCCTCCACTCGGGAAGGTGGGTAGCATTGGAGATGAGCCCACCGAAATAATGGTGAAAATAAAAAGCCGTTTCGGCAGGTGCATTCATAGAATAAAATGTCCGTCTTGGCAGCTTTTCTGTGCCAAGACATCCATATCTTCTTTGACTAGGTGTCGTTTACCTTCATCAACGTCATCTGCTCCTCCGCGACTTACACCAAGTCAGAGCCGCGCCCGATAATCAGTCACGACGACAGCCGCTGCCATGGATCGCTACGACGAGCAAGGCATGGGGGAGAAGACGTCGCCCCAGGCGTCTCTTGAGGCAGGCAGCGACGACCGTCCGAAGGAAACTGGGATCCTGGCCACTTTGCGCCGCTTCGAGGGCAGAATGGACAAAGCCCTGGGTGTAGAGTCGCATGCCATCGACCGCAAGATGGACGCCGACAAGAGCCCCGTTAAGTGGCACGAGGAACTGACCATGGCTCTCCTGTGGGCGAGTGGTACCATGGGTATCAGCTGCTTCGCAACAGGGTTTCTCGGCTGGGAGTTTGGTCTTGACCTGAAACGGGCTATTCCCATCTTCATCTTTGGTTCCATCCTCGGTGGTGCTGTGTCTGGATATTGTGCCACCTTTGGAGCCGCAACCGGTTTGCGACAAATCTCCGTCTCCCGATTCAGTTTTGGCTGGTGGCCCAACAAGCTCATTGCCTTTTTGAATGGTGTCGAACAACTTGGCTGGGCATCTGTCGGCTCTATCAGCGGCGGATTGGCGCTGACTGCCGTGGCCGATGGTCGCATCTCCCTCGTCGTCGGTGTCATCATCATCGCCGTAGTCTCTCTTCTGATCAGCTTTCTCGGGTTGAACTACATCTTGATCTATGAGCGTTACGCATGGCTCATCTACTTCATCATCTTCATCATCATCTTCGGCATGGTTGGCCCGTATGCCGACGACGTTACCCCAGCCCAGGTCACGGGCGCCGAACTCTCTGCCAGCGCCCTCTCACTTCTTGCAGTCGTTTATGGAAGCTCCGCATCATGGGCCACCATGGTATCCGACTATTACGTTCATTACCCGACCAATGTTTCCAGGCTCAAAGTTTTTATTCTCACGACTCTTGGTATCGCTATTCCGACATCCTTTGGCATGACCGCCGGAGCCGTTGTGGCTAGCTCCCTAAACAATCAAACGGCTTGGGCGAACACCTACGAGAACCAAGGTCTTGGCTTTCTGATCCGAGATATGCTGCACCCTCGCGGTTTCGCTAAGTTTCTCCTCGTCATCTTCTCCTTCAGCGGCATCAACACCAACATCATCTCCCTATACTCTGCGGCCATCTCGTTCCAACAAATGGCCCGCCCTTTTGCCAAAGTCCCCCGATTCCTTTGGACCTTGCTCTGCTTTGCTGTTGTTATTGGGCTGGCTCTCGGTGGTCGCAGCCAACTGAACACCTATCTGCAAAATTTCCTCAGCTTGTTAGGCTATTGGTGCACGAGCTACTTCATCATCCTGCTGATGGAACATTCCATCTTTCGACGTGGAGACTTTGCCAATTACGATCTCGATGGTTGGAACGACCCGAGCCGCTTACCTCATGGCATTGGGGCTAGCGTTGCCTTCCTAGTCGGGGTGGTCGCATGGTGCATGGGTATGGTTGAGACGTGGTTCGTGGGACCTCTTGGCGGTCTGATTGGCGAATCTGGAGGTGATATCGCCAACGAAATGACGCTTGTGGTCACTGCTGTGGTATACCTGCCTGCTCGCTATTTGGAATTGAAGTTTTTCGGCCGATAGAAGAGGCGCACAATAAAGTACAGGAGCAGACTAGTTGTGTTTACGAAATCTCACCTTGCCACTTGATAGGATCTCACCAGAAGCCACAGTCCTCCATTTCCAATGGAGATTAGGAAGTCGTCAATTGTCGTAGGGTCTGACGCTGTATACTTGCCGCTTGTGACAGTCAGGCTGAACTCCTCGTTAAATGATAACGCTGGGGCAGACATTCTTGCGTCAACAATTTACCGCCGCTTCTGGCAAGCTCCAAATGCCAAGTTCCTCCATTTGGGCAAGACTGAGTCCCAGATCAGCTGACTCCAAAATGAGTCCACCATGGATGAAGATTCCCCACTGATCATCTCCATTCTTGAAGAAACCAAGCTGTTAATAGAAGCGCCTGCCACGGGCCTAACATAGATCACCGTATCAGTCAAATGAGAAACAACCGAGACTTGCAACTTGTGAAAGTCACTTTGTACAGTGGATCTGTTTTCTCAGGAACCCGATGGTACACTGTTAGAATCGGTGACAAGGATCACTGATGCGGTCCCAGCGGCAGAAAGTATGTCGTTTTTCTCGCTGGGAAGCCCAGTCCAAAACGGTTGCCAACCTTTTCCCGCGTAACCCGATTCCCGATTTGTGAATGCCGGGCACCATAAAGGGATGTATTCAGGGTAATCTGATCTAGTGTTGTCGGGCACTGCTGGAGAGGTTTGTCTGGCATACTCGGCAAGCGCCACAACAGACAGACTTTTCGTTCTTTGAATGTGTTTCTTGGCAAGCTCGATGCAGATTTGTGATGTTGCTTGGTGGTAGTCTGGTTGAATGATGATGTTTGAGATTGGCCAGATCGCCCAGGATATGAGCTGTTTCCCGGGCTCTTCAACCACGCCCTTGCAACGCGAGAATCTTATCACGAACCTCTGTAGCCTGTTCAGACCTAAAGTCATAGATGAGGCTAAGAAACTTCTTATTGCGGCAGTTTTGAAATGTGAACCTAAGTATGGCATTGATTGCATCCCCTAGAGTAGAGCGCAATCGTTCTTCTCGGTGACGAACCAAAGTCTCATACTCTCACGCGACTACCCCTCTCCCATTGAAAAAGAAGCGCGGCACTGCTGTCAACAAGCCAACGGAAACGGCCGACCTCGAGGACCTGCGAGCAACACCAAACGAGTAAATCTTATGCAAGTACAAACTCTTGAGTTGTCCAATCCGTGTCCACTACGGTCGCCGTAGGAGGTCCGACGCTACGAGCATGGCGTCAAAGTGGACTTGACCGCCCATCCATGGGGAACTGCATGAAACAAGATGTTCCAATCCCCAAGGCTCCTTGTCGCCCAACCAGACGATCACACGGGTCGCTTTGGGATATATCCTGCCCATGAGAAATACCTGCAAGCTTTTCTTGGCTAGATCATTCTGTCTGATACAAATGGCATCAATGATGACTGTCCTGGGCTCCTTCGAGCGACGCCAGCGCACCAGTGCTTGAAGCAACGAAGCAGAGACAAAAAAGAAAAAGGGCCTATCGTTGATCTCTATAACTTGAGACATCTCGGGTGGACCCCATACGTATGACAGAGCTGCTTCATACGGAGGCAATTTGGAAGAGGCAGAAAGAGCAACGTTAAGTTAACAACGGACCGGATATTGGTGACGACCCCGCTGCATAGTCAGGAGCTATATTGGTGGACTATGCTTTGTGACGCTTAGCACAGTACCACCTGCTGATAGCGCCGGGATAGGGTGATCATCGTAGATAGCTTCGTTGCGCTGTTGCTCCTCTGTATAGACTGACTTCTCCAATTCGACAGCAGTAGTCACCAGCGGCTTCATCAAGAACTTGTAGAAAAGTATTACCGGGGCGGGAGGGAATGCCATGTAAGTGGGAAAAAGCCACGTAACAACAGTCGTGCCTTCGGACCCACGGTAGAAAAATGGGGCCCACGCAAAACACTGTAAGAACAGAGAGTGTCCAGCGAAGGACGTAAGTGACCTGGAATTGAAAATGAAGGATGCCGAGGGCTAAACGATCTGCCGCAATAGTGTTGACGGCCCATCACATAAGGCGACTGTAGGCTGACGCTGTGGTATGAACCAGACCAGGGAGGGCAAGAAAGGGCGACTATAGTGCCTGGCCCATATGATTTTGTTTGTTTGTAGTATTTAACGCCAGTGACGTCCCTGTCAAGGGCAAAGGGCGCCCAGGTGGTCTAGTCTACATACATCTTTCCTTCGCCTACTGCCACAGTCGAAACCTTTCTGCATGCCCCTATCCTTGCCCTGAGAGATTCTATATATCAGTGTTCCGTCCTATCAAGTGCTAGTTGGCTCTGTAGTTGCTAGGTTCTATTACACTCAAAGTTGTCCCTGGTTTATCTTATAGCTCTACTATAAGTAAACTAAGGCTTTTATATACCTTACTAAATAATATAAATTTATACTAAAAGTAATATTTTTTTAAGAGTTTAGTATATAAATATAAAAGTAATACTTGTAACGGGCTGGGCCCGTGTAAGGCCTTGCTGGATATCTCGGCCATAAGCCACCCCTGATCAGGCCCACCACGGAACCCATAATGCCGACGATCCGATGGTTAGTGCGGCATGGCCCTGATCAGACCAGCGGTGAGGCAGAGATATACTGTTTTTTCCCTTCTAATCCTTATCTAAGGATACTTATACATAGTCACTATAGCTAGTTATAATATACCTTGGCTTAGACTATTATATTATCCTTAGATCATAAGAACACTAAGGTCTTTTATACTAAATAGTTAGTTTATTTAGTGAAAATAGCTAGATCTATATAATTAAGGATATTAAGGCCTTTTTTTAAAAAAAGTAATTTAATAAAGGCTAAAAAATAAAGCCTTATAGCTTAATTAAAAAAGGGATTATTAATTAAAATAATTATAAAACCTAAGAACTTAATTAAAGCAAGACTAATTAGTAGTACTTTACCTAGTCTTAATAGAACTACGTTATAGTTATAAGATATAGTAAAAAACAAAAAGGACCCTTAAAGAACATATTATACTTAAAGAGTTAAAAAGCAATAAAAGGTAATACTAATACTTCTTTATCTACAGGATTATAAGAGTTAGTATAAGTAATAAACTAACTAGCTACTTAACTACAAGAACTATAAACTACCTAAGTAAATAATCAAAAAGCTTAGCAAGAATAAATCTACCTACTACAATAAGCTTTTATTAACTTAAAGTAACTAATACCTTTAATAACTACAAAGTCACCCTTAACAGAAACAGTAGTAGCCTAACCTAATCAAGTTACTAGACTACTTACAGCATAAGTAAAATATTAACTCCTTAACTTTCCTAAGTTTAATAGTACTTATAAGAAGTTCTAATAATAGTATTTTAAGATTAATAGTAAAATATTAGTAAATAAAGAAGCTTTTAGTTCTAAGGGTATTATATTTATATATATTTACTTATAGCTAAAAAATATAGCCTAGTTTATAATAAACGCTTATTATACGTAAAAAAAGGCTAATAGCTAATATAACCTTAATTAGTTCTTAAAGTATTTAAAGAGCTATTATAAGGACCTAAACGCTAAAGCCTAAGCTTTAGACTAACTATATACTATATAATAAAAAAACAATAAAAGCTTTATATACTTTTTCTCTAAGTTTAAGAAAAAATTAGCTAAAATAAAAAGAAAATATTAGCTAAATAGTAACAAAATTAGTTATTTAAAAGAGGCCTTAAACCTAGTAATAAGGACAACTTTAATCAGTATAATTAACAAACTAACTAAGTATACCTAGTATACCTAAATACTTTTAATAATTAGCTTTAACTTAAATAACAAAAAGTTCTAAGCTAAACAAAAATACTAATACTAAAGATCTTTTATACTTAATTAAACTAAAAGGAGGCTACTAATAGTTAAAAAAAATAAAATAAACTAAGAACTTATAAAAGTTATAAAAGCTTAATTATTAAAAAAACATAAAGGCTAAGAATATTACTAAAAGTATAAAAACATTAAATATTATAGTTATAATAAAAAAGGGTATATAAGAAAGGATTATATAGAAAAGTAAAGACCCTTAATAATTAAGAAGTTAAAGGCTAAGAAATTAAAGGTTAAGAAATTAAAACCTTTATTAAAACTAAATAGTAATACTAGCTCTAAAAAATCGACTAAATCTAAGTCTAATTAGACCTTTAATAAGTTAGGAAAAGAGTAGCTTTTAGTAAAAAGCGTAGTTAAGAAAAGAAAGTAAGAAAAAAGTAGTAACTTATTAAAAAGACTATAAATAATAACCCCTTTTTTATTAATATAAGAATTAATAATACCTTTTATATTTATATATTAGTTAACTTAAAATGTTTTACTTATACCACTATAAGTTAAGCTTATACTAAGAAACTTTACTTACTATATATTAAAATTAAGCTTAAAGCGCTTAAGACTATAAACAGAGTAATTCTAGACATAATTATTACTATTACTTTTACTAGAATTAACCTTAATAGTTATAAAAGAAGTAAGCTATTCTTCTATATTATCTCTAATTAAACTAAGAATATAATTCTAGGTAAAACATAGATAGTAAAAAATAATATTACTATTTAACTTACTAAGAACTCTTTACATATAAAAGTAGCTAACTACACTATTAACAAAAAGAACCCTAAAAAGAAAAAAGATTATACTTATATATACTAATAGATAGCTTTAGTTTTTATAGCCTTAATTAAACAAAAAAAGAAATAAAAAAACCTCTTAGACTACCAAGTTATATAAATCTTTTCTGTTAGCTTAGTAAATATTAAAAGGGCTTTAATACTAAAAAAAAGAACTAATATTAAAGCTTTACTTTTTAAAAAATACTATAAGTTTTTAGATATTTTTAACTTTAATTAGACTACTAAATTACCCTTATACTAAAAAAGTATTAACTATAAAATACTTCTAAAAAAAATTAATAATAGTAAAACCCTTAAAATACTATAAAGGCTACTATATAAAATATTAAAA